TCTTTCCCTCCATCAACTGTGGACCACAGGCCTTCTCTCAAGAGGCCTACCTTGGGTTTGAAGGCAATGAGCTTCAGAACCATCTCCACCGTGAAGAGGCCAGTGAAGAGCATGTTGAGGATGTTCATGGCGATTTTGAACAGGCAGCTCTGGCCATAGTGCTGAGTTTGGGGGAGAAAGGAGAAACCATGAAAATAAGGCTGAGCTACCGCTACTCCTTACCACCTTTTGTCCAGCCTTCCCAGAGGCGCTCGTCTCAGCAGAGGTCTTCCTTGAGCCAAACCCCTGAGAGGCCATCCGCCTCTCCACAGGCAGTCAGTTGTCCCCCAGGGGCTGGAGGTGGGGGTCGGGCTACAGGGTCTTCCCTTCTCTGCCATCTCTGAAAGCAGAGGGCAGCAGAGTTCTGTGTGCCTTCTTTGGTTGGTCATGATGGTACTTCATGGAGACTCATGGCACTCAAGAGAGCTCTGGCACAAGCTGACCTCCATGAAGAAGGGTGGATGTAGAATCTTCCCTCTCGCCCCATGTAGTAATGACAACAACGAATGTTTCAAGCTTACTCTCTCAGGTTTCCATTTCCTTCACTCCATTTTATCTAACCAGGGCCCTATGGATTCATTCATAAGACACAAGAGAGGAGCTCATCCTTGAGAAGGGACACTTGTTCTCTAACTGGGAGGAAAGGATAGCTTGTCTGCTCTTTCTGCCTCCCTTGGCTATAGGAAGGTGACAACCTGAGATGCTCATGGAGTTCCCTTGCACTGGACATCTCCCCACCACCCCCATAGCCCTCTCCCTCAAGCGGGCATCACGGGACCAGGCTCCCTTGAACTGACCTGCATGGCCAAGCAGATGGTGTTGAGCAGGATGAGGACGAACATCAGGTACTCAAAGTAGGTGGAGTTCACCACGTACCACACTTTGTATTGGTGCTGGTTTTTGGGGATGTACCGCCGCAGGGGCCGGGCCTTGAGGGCGTATTCCACACACTGTCGCTGGGAGGAAGGCAGAGGGATGGGTAGGGTGGAAATAGGGAGAGAGTGGGGTTGGTTATCTGGATGATGCGTGGGAGGATGGCAGAGAAGGGTGGGATGTATATGAAACTCCACACCCTCTGGAAGCCAGAGACGTCATCTATTGCTCCAGCTCATTCACAGGTTTGAGATGTTATTTGGAAGATGTTTTGACTTATTATTCTCAATCAATGAGAGAGTCTCTTCTTGTCAAATCTCCTTATCTGTGTCATCGGTAAATTGCACTTCTCTTTTTGTCAACCTGGTGGTGCTGGTAGATTGCACAGCAGACAGGTGGTGTTTGATAAAAAAACTTTCTGACTGATAGTTGGTCTTATTAATTATTCCTATGGGAGTAATTCCTATTAATTATTCCTATGGGAATAAGCATAACTCTCCTTGGGGTACTATGCTCCATTTTCCTTTCCTGTCTTAAATCAATCTTCTTATTTGCACAAGATTAGAAGACAGTTCATTGATAGGGGAGAAGATCTTGGTCTAACTAGATTCCTCAGATCCCAGTAAAGATCCGTTCCTTGCTCTGCACAGAGCCAAGATTCCCAAATCAGGAGCTGGTGGACGTCACTCCCACCTCTTTTCTCACTCTTAGGCTCTATGTCAAATCCCTAAACCTCACCAATTTCCTCCTTCTGCTCTTGCCATCTCTACTATCATCAACCTGATACTACCAATACATCGGGGTCTAATCATCTCTTATCTCCACCTTCTACCTTCCCTCTCCCCTTTTCTATTATAGTCCATAGTCCACATAGCAGACAGAATGATGGGTCTAAACCCAAGACAAAGACGGGAACACCCAAGAGGGGCTCAGCTGGCCTAATTGGAGTGGAGCTGACCACACTGCCATGATCCTTCCTGGAAGCAGGCCTTATTCACAGAAGGGATATACTGCCCCATGGGCTCTCTCCATTGGGAACCTTATTGGGGAACTGACCTCACTAACTGTACCTACAGCTTGCCCTAACAGCTTCATCACTGCCAGTGGGGCTGCAGCTCTTTCTCAGGGGCTAATAGAACAGGTCATAGTACTGGCCATCACTGTCTCACCTCCACTTAAGCCTCTTTCCTGCCCCTAGCTCCTGCACAAGGTTATATTTTACTTAAGAACTCATTTAAGGGCAGCCACATGGAGCAGCAGAATCGCATTGCTTTGCGATGCCTTCATGAGGCTACACAGGAAGGTCCCAAGGCCTCCCTGTACTCGCCAGGTGTGCACACGTGCCTGTGATCCTGGCTGGCTGAGGCGGGGGTAACGCACTGCATGAGGACTCTGTTGGGGGTGCTCCCCCAGTCCCTCTTCTCATAGAAAAAATAAACTTAAAGGATATTTTAAAATTCAACCATTTAAGAGAGGTTTCCTACAGCTATTCTCTTCCTTATCCCCAAAGTTCTCACTCCTTTATTTTCCTCTTTGTTAAGGTGCCAACTCACCTAAGAACTTTCTAGCTTGTCAACTTCGAGTATAGGCATAAGACTTTTTTTCCCCCATAGAGCATATCAAAGAGTAGCCTCACTTAGGAGCTTGACAAATATCTGATGGCTGAATACATTCACCAGATCTGGGATTTGCATTCTTTTGCACAGGCTACTCAATAACACTGAGAGTTCTATTCTCACTGAGAGCGGCTAGGTGGTCTCGGTGTACACCCAGGTCTCTCCCCTCTCTCCTAGGTAGGCCACAGGCTGCTAACAGCTGCCATTGCTGCTTCCCTCCTCACTCCCTCCTCTCCTTCCTAGAAGGCTACCTGGTTCTTGTCCAGCTCACAGTTCTTGTACTCCTGTTCTCCCTGCTCCTGGAAGGTGACGATGACGAAACCCACGAAGATGTTCATCATGAAGAAGGCGATGATGATGATGTAGATGATGAAGAAGATGGAGATCTCCACGCGGTAGTTGTAGATGGGGCCCTTGTCCTCTGTGTGGGAGTCGATGGAGCGGTACAGCAGCCTGGAGGGGGAGAAAGGTCCCCAAAGGAGTTGGAGAAACAGTGTCACTTCTGTGAGATGATGGCACTGCTGCTCCAGCAATGCCTGGGATCAAGAGTGCTGAAAACGGCCCCAGGCTGGGAGCCAAATGGCCTGGGCTCAAGTCCCACGTCTGCCGTTTACTGACCACGTGACCTTGGGCAAATCACTTAACCTCTTTGAGCCTTTGACTCTTCACCTGTAGAATGGAGACGATAACTCCTGACTTTCTTACCTTGCAAGGTAGTGGACATAGCGTACATGATGGTGTTCCAAAACTCTCAAGAACTTAATGCGACATGAGTCATGGACATTGATTTCAAGTACTGGAAATACTGGTAAATATTGAAACAGCTTTGCAAACTGCCATGACTCAGAGGATGTTAGAGTGAACGTAAAATAAATCTAGCTGAGAGCAAATATTCATTTAGATAAAAATGCTAACATGACCCATGCTTTTTCAGATAACCAACAATGGTTTGGTTTGATACTTAAGTAGTTTACATATGCCTGCCACTCATTTGGGCCTGGCCATGTGCCCCATTAAGCTGGTTATTCTTCACATACAGAGATGTTCTCCTCCCCTTCCTTTGTAACCTTGTGCCAAAAGTGGCTATTCTCCAGGGATTACCTCTATTTTACTATATAATCATGATTACTCTTACCTAAGATCCAAATGCTGCTAATGACTTAGAAATAGTGAGAAGTTTTTGACCTCTAGGTTACAATTTCTAGAATACAGATCAGCATATATGCTGGGGAAAAGCAGATGTCTGGAGCACCTGGTGGCCAGGCTGCCTGGGAGGAGATGCTGGCCAGGCTGGTCTGGCATGTAAGCATCACCTTAACAGGAGATGTGACCTGGGCTTCTGTCTCCTTCTTAGTTCCCACTGTAAGTGCAGACAAGGCTTTCTTGATGGAGACCTAATAAATCAAGGTTAGGGTTAGGGTTAGGGTTATGGGTCAGCTATCTTTAGTCATACTGAGTGTATACTTGCGCAGTTTTCTTGAATTCTGTGGTGATCAGAGGGTCCACACCTCCCCACACCCTGCTCCCAGATGCCATGAGGGTACTGACAGAGACCCCTGACATCATGGGAAAAGGAACTGTAAAAATTTAATGTTTGGTTGGAGTTCCTAAAATATTGGCATCTTCTAGAAGACGAGTCTACATTTCAGCAGTGAGCATGGCCTATAGATTGTTCTAGAACATACTCTTATTTCCTAGGGAGGAAAGGTCAGTATTATTTCTGGGAAGGAGTATGGCTAGTAACAGAACTTGGAGAATGCGTGCAAGGCTATGTTGGATCTGCCTGATGTCAGGGTGGATAGGCTTTGACTTGTATACTCACTCTGGCCACCCCTCAAAGGTGGACACGGTGAAGAGGGCCATCATAGCCGCCAGCACATTGTCAAAGTCAAACTTGCTGTTCTCCCAGCTGCGCGGCTGGATGATGGGGTGGTCCACCTCCCCGTCTTTGTATGTGATGTAGTTGCCCCTGAGGGAAGAAGATTAAGAGTTAATTCTGGAGTCTTCCACTTCCTTCCCAGGTCCTCCACACCTAACCCACCAGTAACTCCAGACACACTGGGTGGGCTGGGACTGCCTAGGCTCACACTCTGCTGGCTGTGCCATTGGTAGAACTTCAGTGGGGAGACCCTTCAGGAATAGATTGTATTACATGTCATGCCAATGATTTTAACCCAGCTGCCACTGTGTTCTGGGAAAGAATGAGCTGCCCCTCTTTTCAGGCCTAGTCACTAGGCCCAGCTAGCCAGCCTGGGTACTGACTGCCCTCCAGCCTATACTCACTTGCATTCTGCCTCAGTCTGCTTGGAACTGTCTGAACAGGTGTAGAGCTTCCCCTGCAAGGCAGAACAACACACTGATTAGAGATGTTCCTTAGCCAATGAATCAATCAAAACACTATAGTGACAACTGTGTAGCCCAGCGCTGTGCTCAGGACTGTGGACCTATGGTGCCAGGAGGGCCATGTCCGGACCAAGAAGACACGACTTTCACACGTGTGGAAAGCAGGCAGTACACGAAGATGCTCAGTGCTGCCAAGCACTGCGACTCTCCGGGGTGCTCTCATGAGGAAGGGGAAGCTGAGCTTGGAGGGATGGATGAGATGGGAATCAGCAGCATGTGTGTGGTGGATGGGGGAGAGGACCACGTATGCTTCCTGTGGGCAAACAGCAGGACTAAAGGATTAAGGTGGGGAAGAGCAGAAGCCAGGGAGGATGCTGGCCACACTAACTCAGGGGTCCTCTCAGGAAGCAGTGGGGGCTAAAGCCATGAAGGGCAGACATGATGTTGCTGAGAGGAAGCCTCCACAGGCTGAGCTGGTGACTAATGCCCAGCTCTCGGCTGAAGGAAGCCCCTCTCCCTTCCTGCTAGGACAGGCAGTGCCTGAAGGCAGGCACAGCGGACAGGGCAGGGGCCTCTGGCTGGAGGAGCAACACCCTACTGCGATGACTATCCTCTGGTCTGGATGGTTAGTAGGGCTGTGATAGGAGACTGCATTCACCCCGAGGCCACCCGGGCTGCTGACCCCTTTTGTTGACTCGGTCAGTGCCCCTTCCTGGGAATGTGGGGGGTTAGAAGCAGGTCTGCGGGTTAGAGCAGAGATGTTACCTTGAAGAGCTGGACCCCGATGCAGGCGAACATGAACTGCAGCAGCGTGGTGACGATCACAATGTTCCCGATGGTCCGGATGGCGACGAACACACACTGGACCACGTGCTGCAGTGGGAGAGGGTCCAGGGCGAGGGGGACATGGTCTCAGGACACGTGGGCAGCCTGAGCGTAGACAGCCCTCTACCATGAGTGGGAGGGACAGGCTCAGAGAACAAGTGTCCCGAGTCACATGCGGCTGAGCTATGATGGAACCCGGAGGAAGTGGGTGCAGGATACAAGTCCTGTTAATGTCCCACTTTGCAGTGCCAGGAGTATTGGAGCTCATCACCATGTGGGGGGTGCTGGATTTGTGGGAGGGACTCCCCTTTGCAATGGGTGGCTTAGGAACTCAGGCTTCTTACATTTATTTGTTTATTTCTTCCATAAGCAAGAGAGACAGAGACAGAGAGAAAGAAGTAGCCCCAGCAGGGCTGATCCACAATCCACCCTAAGCTTCAACCAGCTTTGGAGCAAAGACACACACATGCCAGCATGCTCCAGGAGGCCTCTGGACACAAACCAGGAACGTTCCCGGGGGGCCAGCCTTGCAGAGCATTACGCTTTATCACTGCACTATGGTCCAGCCCCCAGAACTCAGCTTTCGAATATCTGCCTTTATCATAACCCTGTCCTCACACATCCTGGACTTGAATAGGAGCAGCAGCCACTTGACCTGTCTCTTGTCTCTTCCTTCCAGCCCATCCCTCCCCCTAGTTTAGCACCCACCACCAACAGGCCACAGTGCTCACCTTTAATCCCTTGGCCCTGTTGATGGCCCTCAGGGGCCTAAGTACCCGCAGAACTCGCAAGATCTTCACAACGTTGATTGCACTGGACCTGGGAGAGAGACACAGGCAGGGCATAAACTTCTCCTGGTTCTGCTGGAGCAGGAAATAATGTGGGTGGGAGGTGTCTGGACAGGCCAAGCAATGGCACACGTGAATCAAGTGGGCAGTCTGTCGTGGAGACGTTTCCATCTGGGACCATTCTCTGCACCCAGGTCCCACTCCATAAGATCCTGGAGTCTGCTTGTGACCCTGGGACTTTCCTGTCAGCGAGTAAATAATATGAAAAGCAATTCGCCATGGGTCATTAGCCACATAATGTGCTACCCAGGGAGGTATTATCCTGTCAGAGAAAGGAGAGTTAAAGCAAGACAAACCCAAACTTACACAGCAGTGTCACTTGTAGCCACGCCAAGGAGGACAAATTCCCTAACTTTCCTGAGGCCTAGGTTTTTTTTTTTTTTTTTTTTTTTTGGAGAGATTTTTGCAATAGGGCGCGTGCGCTTGCCAGACAGACAGAGAGAGACATAGAGACAGAAAGCGAGAAATCACCCCCCAGGGGGAATGGGCACGCCGCAATCCCTTCTCCCCTTCTCCTCCATTCTCCTCTTGGGATCTTGGGCACACACGCACACGCGCCCGGCGTGAGTTTTAAGCCACCGGGTCCGGGACGCACACCGCGGTTGACTACCGTGGGAGTCCAGTGACATAGCCATTATGCTAACGGCTGGTTCCCGAGCCCTAGGTTCTTTATATTAAAATTAGGTAGCTCATAAGGTTGTGAGGATTAAATGAGAATTTAATCAGAATCATCTAGAAAACCATCGGTACGTTGGCACATTCTGTGACCTGAATATATGGCATCTCTTACTACCATGCCGATGACACTGCACGTAAGGACGTTCGGTACTAACGATGGAACTTCAGATCTCCTGGGAGTAATGGTGGGGGGGAGAGAAGACTTTTTTGTCTGCCTCCCTGAACTCATATCTTAGCTGGTTGCCCGTCACGCTTGCCCACAAAAATCTATGACTATTCATAGCACTCTCAGGACACCAAGAGTCCCTACACAACAGGTTCAGCATGCCTGGGTTGCCACAGCCTGGAGGTCTGAGGCTACTGCTACTCCCCAGTGGAAAGGTGGCAGGAGTGGGCAAGTCCCCCCTGAGTCTCTCAGCAAGGTATCTGGGTGGTTTCTGGGGTTATCCTTTCAACAGCAGGGCTTATAAACCACACCAGGCAGTGTATTCCAGTCCTCACACACTGACTTTCTGAGGTATCTTCTTGAGCACTCAGAGAGCCTTACACCTACCTTGGGATCTGAGAAACGTATGACACACCTGCCAGTGTTGCTTTTATTCTTCATGTGGTTAGGGTAATGTGCTCAAGAGGGAGCTGCAGAAAGATCAGATTCTTCTGGTTCAAGGCTCTTTCATTCCAAAAGATTCCAGGCATTCCTATCTGTCCTCGCATCTCTCCTCACTGTATCACTGGCAGGAACTTGGTTTGTGTCCAATCACAACAGAAGGGATTTAAAGGTCAGATGGAGGGAAACAGATTAAAGAGGACCAATTCTTGGTTCAAAGTTAAATTGTGATTTAGTGGTAGAGCTGGGATTATTGTAGAATCTAGACCTGCAGGCCCCCAGGAAGCAAATTCTGGGTAATCCAATTGATGACCACAGTAAAGGGTCTCACTGCCAAGGCCCCCATCTCCACTGTATCTAGGCTGACTATGAAAACACTCTTGGGAAGGGACATCCAGGACTCCTGGGACATAAGTCTCTCTCAGTCATTGGTATAACCTTGAGCAAGTGTCATAACTTCAATTTTCCCATCTATAAAATGATAACACTTACCCTGCCCATTTCATAGGGCTTTTTGGGTGAGAATCATAAAAAGGTGAAAGTGTTCTTGAAAGAGATGCGCAACCTCCACAGGGTCTGGTCACACCACAGTCCTCTTTCTCCAGTTCTCCAGCCCATTGCATCTGGGGCACTTGGGCGCACGCCCAGCGTGTTTCTGACTCACTAGGCTGGGGATTTGAACCGTGGGTCCCACGTGGGGTCTGGCTTCTCCTTAGCAGCACATTACTGCCGTCTCACAGTCAGCCCTCCCACAAACTTTTAAATATCCCATTCATGTACTTTCAAAACTTGTGTAATTTCAGATGAACTGCCTGATGGAAATGTTATATTGGCTCTTATGTTTACTTTTCAAAATGGAATAAATAAAACTTTATATGGATTTAAAAAGAAAGAAAGAAAGAAAGAAAGAAAGAAAGAAAGAAAGAAAGAAAGAAAGAAAGAAAGAAGAAAGAAAGAAAGAAAGAAAATTCAAGCATGAGATTAACATGGACAGCTGTTAGAACTTGGTGGAAACTGGGACCAGCAGATGGTATAATGGTTATATCTCTGGATTCCCACATAGTTGTTGTGGCATGAGTCCTGCTCCCGGTGGCTTGAAACTCACACTGGACACGTGTGCGTGCGTGCACAAGATCCCAAGAGGAGAATGGAAGAGAAGGGATGGCAGCGTGGCGATCCCCCCTGGGGGGGTGATTTCTTGCTTTCTGTTTCTCTCTCTCCAGTTAGCACACATGACCTGTAGCAAAAATCTCTCTCTCCAGAAAAAGAATTTGGTAGAAACTAGTGATCAGATCTCTATGAACCTGAGAAAGATTTGCAGTTTTGGCTGTACAAGGAGAGCACCTGGAGAGCTTTCAGAACTTCTAAAGACCAGACTATATCCCAGACTGATTAAATCAGAAACTCTGAGGTGGGGTCCTGGCAAATGTTTTTAAAGCCATCCAGGGGACTCCAGCCGAGATGGAGGGCGGAACTGCTCTCTCTCCCTCCTTCCATCACTCACATAGATTACAGGCACTGTGGGGACGGATGCGAGAGCAAGGGGGGAGGGCGGGCTGGCAGGTCAGGGGAGGCCATGGACAGATGTGAGAGGGAGGATGGAGGGGGGACTGGCAGGTCAGCGGAGGCCATGGGCAGATGTAGAAGGAGCGGGGAGGGTGGACTGGCAGGTCAGGGGAGGCCATGGACAGATGTGAGAGGAGCAGGGAGGGTGGACAGACAGGTCAGGGGAGGCCATGGACAGATGTAGAGGCCATGGGCAGATGTGAGAGGAGCGGGGAGGGTGGGCTGGCAGGTCAGGGGAGGCCATGGGCAGATGTAGAAGGAGCAGGGAGGGTGGACTGGCAGGTCAGGGGAGGCCATGGACAGATGTGAGAGGAGCAGGGAGGGTGGGCTGGCAGGTCAGGGGAGGCCATGGCACTGAAGGACACCTGAAGAGCATGTGGCACGTGACCAAGCAGGTGGGCAGGTTTTGGAGACAGCAATTTTTTCATGAGTGGGCCTGGCCCTGCCTGTCACGGCAAGATGTGGATATTTAAACATATTCTTGTTGCATTCACATGCCCCTAACCGTCACACTGCTGAGGACATCAGAGGTGCCATGACAGGGCCCCGCCTCTGCCCCCACTCACATCAGTCACACTGTGGGTGCCATCCAGACCCGCTGTCTTGTTTTACACCCATCCCTGGCTGCACATCCCCATCTTGGGCTGAGGGTGCCCTACTCACTGGATGCCAAAGGAGATCAGGGACACGCTGACCACCAGCAGGTCCAAGATGTTGAAGTAGTTCCGGCAGAAAGAGCCCTTGTGCAGGAAAGCCCCATAAGCAGTCATCTGCAGGGAGGCACAGAGAGCAGGCCTGTGAGCAGTCCTCGCCCAAGCTTGCAACCCCACCTCGCCCGCCCTGCCCAAGGGGAGTGGGAGGACCGAAGAGGGAGCTGTGCCAAGAAAGCATCCCACATTCACCTGCACGCCCTCCAAGGAGCCCCCAGCTCAGGAGGCACAGCAGCTCCCACATTCCACAGACCATGCCATTCTGGTATTGGAGGCCCTGTGAGACGGGCCCCTCCACCTCTCTCTAACTGTTCACTCTCTCATCCCAAGGGTATGGCTCTATCCCTGTAGGGCCCTTGGCTGAAGCTACCCCGGCTTTTATACACACACCCCGACTTCCTCTCCCAATTCCATCATCTTCAGGGCCAGCAGGGAAGCGAGGCACCTGGGGAACCACTGGGGCTGCTCTCTGTCCCTCTTTCCATCACACACAGATTGCAGGCACTGCTGAGACAGATGCGAGAGGGTGGACCGGCTTAGCCCAGCCTTAACTGACTTCATTACTGAGAGCCCTGTGTCCCGGGAAGCCTCCCAATCTTAGGTTAAACTGTCAGCCATCCTGGAGCCCAGTGGGAAGTTTTACCAACAACTAGGGTAATTGGCATCCCTCCACTCCTTGGCCTCTAATAGTGCTTCTAACCCATGCCACGTAGACCAAATATAATCCTACTGTTTGCTTCTAGGTTGTATCTGGGGTCTTTTAAGGGCAAGAACTGTGCATTCAGGGGACGATGGATGGTTAAAAGTGCACGCCCAGAGCCCAAGTCCTGGCCCTGTTGCATTTGGTTTGTGTGACCTAAACAAGATAGCTAGCCTCTCTGTGCCTCAGCTTCCTGTGTGGAAGTGACAGCGAGAACACCCACCCTCCAGTACTGTAAGTACCAAAAGTGCGATTACAAGTAAGCCGCGTAGAGCTACCCCGGAAAGCGAGCTCTGCAAGTGTTGTCCTTAGAGCTCGCACGTGGGTTCTGGATTCTTCCTGGACGAGGCAACTGAAGTGGGAATGTAATGCCCTGTCTCTGTGAGGCTCATCCAGGAAAACAATGCAAAAGCTCTTTGAAAACTTTAAAAAGAGAAGCCGTGAGATGATGACTGCAGGGCTCGACTATCTCCACCTCCCTCGACGCCTGGTCTAAAGAGGACACTGGAGGGGCTCACAAACGCCTTTCCCATTTGCTGATTGACTTAACGGCCAGTGCATATCCAGGTGAGGGCTGAGAGGTCAAGGACATGCCAAAGGAGAATATCTGAGCTGAGGGCTGGCAGGCTGGGAGAGGCTCCCTGGGCACCTGGGGTCCCGTTTATCTCTCTGGAATCAGAGCATGCCCAGGGCAGCACGTCTGCAGAGCAACTCAAAGGCAAACACAGGGGAAACTGGCAAAAATAGCTCTTGCAACCTAATTCTTTCCATTTATCTCCTGCAGCAGGGGGTCACAGGGGACTCAGACACCTGTGTTCACAATGGCCCTTAGAAGTGGGGAGATTATGTAAAAGGCTACAGGGAACATAGCTGCAGATCTCTCCTGAAGGCTCACCATCTGCAAAGCATGCCGTCCTCTCTCTCAAGGAAGGCCTGGGATCCCAGAGGCTGAGTTTGGGCAGGTTCCCTAGCTGATGTGCACCCAAGAGCTTTCTGCCTGCCGACGGCCAAGCCTCTTCCCTAGTCACCTCACTTCCAGTCTGCCAGAGTCCTGGGCCTGACCCTTCCTCGCTCCCAGCTCGCAACTTCTGAGACCACCACTAAGCTTCAAGAAGGTCCTCAGCATGGTGGACAGTGACCCTTGGGTAGGTGGGCTAAGGCCACCAGCTGTGTCCCATGACTGTGGGAGCCCATTTTGAGACCAGCACTTCAAAATTTGCAAGTTGGGTGGTGGTGGGGACACACACCCTGGCAGGGCTGAAAGAAGACTGGCCCTGGGAGAAAGGGCAAGTGGACACTGGAGAAAATGGCATTTATTTATTGTCTGCAGCATTCGGGGGGCCAGAGCCAGCCAGGTGTAGGAGCCCACTGCAGGGGCCTTCTTCTGCCCTTTTTTTGCCGATTGCCCTTTCCTAGGCTCTACTCCCCAAGAATTCTACACCACTATCAGAGAAGTCCCATCGCTAGGGTGTTTCTATTCTGAAGAGAGAAAAGGATGGGCTGTGGAGTCAGAAGGGCCGGGCCACCCCAGTTCTTGAGCAGTCACCCCTTCTCTGAGCAGCACTTCTGGCTTAAACATGACTCATCTAAGGTCCACTCGTTGGTCACGTGTCTACCTTTTCCCTTTCCCTGTGACGGTCCTCGAGCCATGCAGGCGACTGGCATGGTCCTACCAGCCCTTCCTTTCTAAGGCCAAATCTGTCCAGGTCCTTTACCTGCTCCTTCCCTATACAAGTGGCCCTTTTGCTGGCCCTTGTCTGTGCCACAGTACAGCCCTGGGCAGACGGACCCCGTGGGAGGGAGCTGCAGCAGTGTCCTGGGGCTCAGGGTACACATTCAGAAGCACATGAAGCATGAAAGAGTAGAAGAGGGAGCGGTTGCAGGGGAGGGAAGGACCTTGCCATGACAACGCTTACAAAGAGCCCTCTTATTTCTGCTTGTATGGCAGTCTTGAAGGGGAAGGGGCACCATTGAAATCCACAAGGGAAGGTCGGTGGAGGGGCACTGAGAATTGGGCCTCAGAGCTTTCCTTGTTCTGGGAAAGAACTCTGGGCATCTGTGTTCTTCCCTGAGTCTGATGTCCAGTGTGGGCACAGCCTACTGCAGCCATGGAGCTCTAGGCTCCCTCTCCCCACAGCTCTGGGACCTGAGCCTGGGCAGGTCTATTCTCCCCAAGTAGAAAAGGAAGAGCTAGGCGGCACTCCAGCTAGCAGGAACTGGAGACACAAGTGAGGGGTCTGGACACCGTGCCTCTCAGGGATGAAGATGCACGGAAGACATCCACAGACCGCCCTGCTCTATCTGCGTCTGGATGCAGCAGGGGTGCCATGTACACCGAAGCACTGGGTTAGGACTCGGGAGCTACATCAGGAAAGGGAGGGTGTGCAGCTGGCAGCCAGGTGTGGACCTCAGCTCCACCAGCGCGGCAGTGGGAGGAAGGGAGCCTGAACGCCATGGTGGGGAGTCCAGGAGAATCTCTCAGGAAGACACTGAAGTTGGAGCATGTGCTTCAGAACCCTCAGAGGGAGGCTAGAATTGAACCCAGCTATGAGAGGCCCACTGTCTCCCATCTAACTCTGCCAGCCTCTCAAATAATGAGCCAGCTTGGTTATGGAGCTCAGGAACCTACTGGAAAAACCCAGAAATGCTCTTTCATCCTGGGTCACTGAGAATGAGCTCTGCTGTCTTCAGTGCCACCAGCAGAGCAGAGCCCGGCCAGCAGCAGGCAGGGCTGCCTAAAGCCGGGGCTGGAGGCCTAGGTGCTCAAGCTCCTTTTGGTGCCTAATTCTCACCCCAGCACTTGGCTCTCCAGAACAAGGTTCTCTCCCCATGCCTGGAGCCAGGGTGCTGCAATGGTACTTTCCGCAGGCGACCTGGGGCGGTCTGCTGTCTGCTGTCTGCTAGGAGCCCTTTGTGGGGAAGCTCCAACTCTGCAGCAGGTGCAGTTACTGAGGTTACCAGCTCCAGCTCACCCCCGATGTGCATGCGGGGAATGAGGCAGGTGATGGTGAGGAGGAGCCAGCGCAGTTCTCTCATGCCCCAGGGCCTTCTGCCTCTGGCGGTGTGGTGTTTCCTGGGCAGTGGAGTCCTAAGCAGGGCTCGGTGTCCAACTAACTGCCCTTGCTGTCTGTGAGCACGACACAGGGCACTCCCGGCGGCCCTGGCGCCACACCACATCAATGCTGGCGTCAGGGGTGTCTCTTGGCCCAGAGCTGCGTATGGTGGGCATGGAGGAGGGGTTGCGCACGCCTGGGGTTCTCTGGCTTCTGAGCTGAGACATAGCGCATGGCACAAAGCAAGGAGCACTAATTCTTCCAGTGTCAGGTATGTAAGTAAAAAAGAGAGTGAAAGAGACAGAGGTGAGAAAAGAGACAAGCAGACAGAGCAGAGACAGACAGAGAGGAGAGACAGCAAGAATGCATGGCCCAGGTTGCATTACCTTAAGGATAATTTCTAATGTAAAGATACTAGTGAAGACATAGTCTGCATTGCCTAGGATCTGAAAAATAAGCATAACCGGATTAGTGGCTCTGAGAGTAAACCCGACACCAACAGGCGCATGTGCTCGGTGTGTTAGCGACAGACAGCAGCAGAGAGCTAGCGCTGGACGGAAGGGGGCGGGGGTTTACCTTCAGAGCAATTTCAATGGTGAAAATGGTAGTAAAAACAATATCAAAATAAAACAGAATCTGCAAAACAAAAGAAAAGGGCAGGTGGGGTGAGGAAGGGAGAGAAGCAGGATGGGGGACAGGTCAGTGAACGTTCACCAGCCACACTTCAAAACCAGATGCACGTCTCTTGAGCCTTTCTCGGGGAGTTGGAGGGGGAGAGGCAGGAAACCGTGGCAGACACAGGACACTGGGTCCTCCCGCAGAGCCAGCTCAGCTCAGGCAGCTTGAGCTCGGGGCTCAGGATGAAGGCCCCGGCACATGAGGGGAGCATCTCGGGCAAGCCTTGACTAGCACTGGTTCTGGACAGGTCTGGTTGGGTGCTTCTCCTGTGAATCCAATTTACTTCCAAACCCCAATCGACCACTGGGATGTTTGTGAAAAGGCAATCAGAGCCTGCTCTGTACAAGGAGGTCACGATGTGTAACTCACACTGTGTGCTGAACTAGCCAGCTCCCTGTGTCGTGGGAATCCACACCGCTGTGTCCTCTGAGGCACAGGAAAGAGCCTCTCCCAGGAGGTGTACCCAGGCTAAGGACAAGACCTCACGCTGCAGTGGAGCTCAGGGCCAGGTCAGTACTTCGGTAAGGCAGCCTAGCCTTAGCAGGCTCCAGGACCGCTCAGTGGCTTGGCATGGCTGTGGTTTTGGACCGGTGAAGGCTTTTCTTTGTGCCCACCTGGTTAGGGTTTGACTGAGATTTAAGGTTTGAGACATAGCAATTCCTTTTATTTTTTTCAATTAATTTTTCCCACAGGGTGCATGGGTCCTCCAGACAGAGTCAGACAGAGAGAGAATATGAGAAAGCAGCCCCCTGGGGGGTGGTCACACTGGAATCCCTTTTCTTCTATTCTCCTCTTCAGATTTTAGGCAAGCATGAACTTGCGTCTGGCGTGTTTTCAAGCTACTGGGTCTGGAATTCAAA